TATAATGTTAGTTGTATTGAGAATTTTTAGTGTCACATCATTTAGTCCCTTTTTTTAGTTTTATTGTGCTAAAATTTTATTTGGTTGTGGCATTTTATAATTGTAGCTTATTATAATGTCAGTTATATTGAAAATTTATAGTGTAAAATCATGTAGCACTTTTTTTCTTTTTAAGTTTTGTGATAAAATTTGATTTGATTTTGGCATATTATAATTGCAGCTTTTTTTTTTTTTTTTAGCTTTTTTAAATTTTATTTGGTTGTGGCATTTTATAATTATAGCTTTTTATAACGTTAGTTATATTGAGAGTTTATCGTGTCATATCATGTAGTGTTTTCTTATTTTTTTAAGTTTGGTGTTAAAATTTGATTTAGTTTTGGCACGTTATAATTGTATCTTTTTATAATATCAGTTATATTGAGAGTGTATAGTGTCATATAATGTAGCACTTTTTTCTTTTTATTTTTTTTAGTCATGTAGTCTTTTTTAGTTTTGTGTTAAAATTTATTTTGATTTTGTCATTTGGTTTTGTAGCTTTTTATAATGTTAGTTGTATTGAGAATTTATAGTGTCAAATCATAGTACCCTTTGCTTTTTTTAGTTTGTGTCAAAATTTTGCTTTTGGCATTTTGTAGCTTATTATAATGTCAGTTGTATTGAGCATTTATAGTGTCAAATTATGTATTTTTTTTTTTTTTATGTTTTATCGTGTTAATATTTTATTTGATTTTGACATTTAGTTTTGTAGAACTTATATTGAGAATTTAGTGTCAAATCATGTAGTTCTTTTTTAGACAATGTTTGTTGTTTTTTTTTCTTTTCAGACATCTAATTAAAGTTTAAATTTAAATTAAATTTGAACTTAAAGATTACTATACTTAATATGATATACTACAATTACTGTTGACTACATATAAATATAAATAAAATATAAATATACAATGACCAATTAACCTAGCAGCAGAGAATGACTACAATACATAAATGTATGTCTTAAAAATCCAGTCTTACTTATGTCCAGGCTGCTAAAAGAATTAGAGCATTTTTTTAAAAAACATCTTAACAGTGTCTTTATAGCTTTTCTCATACAAGTATATATACAGTCTTTGGTAATCCTAGGTTATCTTGTTCTTTTCTGCCATCAAGAAGCTTGACCTAATTCGATGGTAGTTGACTACCTAGGATGTAGTCTACCATCCAGCTATCCATAAACCACACTCTACATGCCGATGCACTCAAAGAAGAAGAATAATTGCAATCGCCAGCGTCCACCAGATGCTAATGCCCCATTTTTTATGCATTCAAGGCCAGCATCTTCAGTAACAGTGGTGCCTATAGTCCAGTATTGTGCCAGGAACCTGAGGAAGATAAAATTAAAGCTTTGTCACTACATACGTATGTATTGTGCCTTTATATAATTTTCTTTTATTATTATATGCAACCAGACAACTCCATCTTATCAAATGTCATAATTAGTTATCTTAAATCAAAGTACAGACTGGAATATTGAAAAGGAGAATTCAAAACAAATTGTGACAGTTTTTAAATCAAAGAGAACCAAACGAATCAATTCCTTGATTCAGAGTGAAATTACTGCAACCAAAGTGGACCAAAGAAATAAATGACTTGAAAGTGATTACTAAGGTCAATGTATGCTAAACAGATCAATTTCTTAAATTCAAATTACATTACTATTACCTAACTATGATAAACAAATCAATTACCTGAATTCAAAGTGAAATTGCCCAAATCAATCACATCAATCATTTGAATTGAAAGTGATGGTACTGAAAACAAAGTGGACCAAACAAATTAATTTTTGGAATACAAAGTAATCAAATCAGTTACTCTAGTTCAAATTGACATTACGTAAATCCAAGTCGACAAAGCTGGTCAATTACAGGAATTCAAATTAACATTACAGATATCAAACTTTACTAAGCAAATCAGTTACTTGAATTCAAAGTGATATGACTGAAATCAAAGTGGACGTTACTTAAATCAAAGTCGACAAAGCTGATCAATTATAGGAATTCAAAGAGATTACTTAAATCAAAGTGGACCAAACCAATCAATAACATGAATTCAAAGTGACATTACTGATATCAAACTATACTAAGCAAATCAATTACAAGAATTCAAAGTGACATTACTTAAATCATAGTGGACCAAATTAATCAATTACAATAATTCAAAGTGACATTACTAAAATCAAAGTGGACCAAGTGAATCAATTACAGGAATTCAAAATGACATTACTGATATCAAACTATACTAAGCAAATCAGTTACTCGAGTTCAAATTGACATTACTAAAATCAAAGTGGACCAAATGAATCAATTACAAGAATTCAAATTAACATTACTAAAATCATAGTGGACCAAATTAATCAATTACAAGAATTCAAAGTGACATTACTGATATCAAACTATACTAAGCAAATCAGTTACTTGAATTCAAAGTGACATTACTAATATCAAACTATACTAAGCAAATCAGTTACTTGAATTCAAAGTGACATTACTGATATCAAACTATACTAAGCAAATCAGTTACTCAAGTTCAAATTGACATTACTGATATCAAACTATACTAAGCAAATCAGTTACTCAAGTTCAAATTGACATTATTTAAATCAAAGTGGACATTACTCAAATCAAACTATACTAAGCAAATCAGTTACTCAAGTTCAAAATGACATTACTGATATCAAACTATACTAAGCAAATCAGTTACTCGAGTTCAAATTGACATTACTAAAATCAAAGTGGACCAAATGAATCAATTACAAGAATTCAAAGTGACATAACTTAAATCAAAGTGGACCAAATGAATCGATTACAAGAATTCAAACTGACATAACTTAAATCAAAGTGGACCAAATGAATCGATTACAAGAATTCAAACTGACATTACTTAAATCAAAGTGGACCAAACAAATCAATTACAGGAATTCAAAGTGACATTACTAATATCAAACTTTACTAAGCAAATCAGTTACTTGAATTCAAAGTGACATTACTTAAATGAAAGTGGACACTATTTAAATTAAAGTCAACAAAGATGATCAATTACAGAAATTCAAAGTGACATTACTGATATCAAACTAAGCAAATCAGTTACTTGAATTCAAAGTGACATTACTGATATTAAACTTTAATAAAGAAAATTGGTTACTTGACTTTACTTGTATCAAATTATAATAAACAAACCAATTACCTGAATTCAAGGTGAAATTGCTCAAATGAAAGTGGACCAAGCAGATCAATTGCATGAAATGAAAGTGATGATACTGAAATTGAAATGAAACAAACAATTAATGGAATTCACAGTGACATTAGTTAAATCAAACTATACTTAAGCAAATCAGTTTCTTGATATGAAATTGACATTACTTAAAGTCAACAAAGATGATCAATTACAGGAATTCAGAGTCAACATTACTAATATCAAACTATACTAAGCAAATCAATTACAAGAATTCAAAGTGACATAACTTAAATCATAGTGGACCAAATTAATCAATTACAAGAATTCAAAGTGACATTACTAAAATCAAAGTGGACCAAGTGAATCAATTACAGGAATTCAAAATGACATTACTGATATCAAACTATACTAAGCAAATCAGTTACTCAAGTTCAAATTGACATTATTTAAATCAAAGTGGACATTACTCAAATCAAACTATACTAAGCAAATCAGTTACTCAAGTTCAAATTGACATTACTAAAATCAAAGTGGACCAAATGAATCAATTACAAGAATTCAAACTGACATTACTTAAATCAAAGTGGACATTACTTAATGTCAACAAAGATGATCAATTACAGGAATTCAAAGTGACATTACTGATATCAAACTATACTAAGCAAATCAGTTACTCAAGTTCAAATTGACAGTACTTAAATCAAAGTGGACATTACTTAAAATCAACAAAGATGATCAATAACAGAAATTCAAAGTGACACTACTTAAATGAAAGTGTAACAAATGAATCAATTACAGGAATTCAAAGTGACATTACTTAAATCAAAGTGGGCAAAATGAATCAATTACAAGAATTCAAAGTGACATTACTGATATCTAACTATACTAAGCAAATCAGTTACTCTAGTTCAAATTGAAATTAGTTAAGTCAAAGTGGATAAAACGAATCAATTACAGGAAATCAAATTGACATAACTTAAATCAAAGTGGACCAAATTAATCAATTACAAGAATTCAATGTGACATTACTTAAATGAAAGTGGACCAAATGAAGCAATTACAGGAATTAAAAGTGACATTACTTAAATGAAAGTGGACATTACTTTACGTCGACAACGAATCAATTACAGGAATTCAAATTGACATTGCTGATATCAAACTATACTAAGCAAATCAGTTACTCGAACAAATTGACAGTACTTTAATCAAAGTGGACATTACTTAAAGGCAACAAAGATGATCAGTTACAGCAATTCAGAGTGGACATTACTAATATCAAACTATATATTAAGCAAATCAGTTACTTAAGTTCAAATTGACATTACTTAAATCAAAGTGGACCAAATGAATCAATTACAAGAATTCAAAGTGACATTACTGATATCAAACTATACTAAGCAAATCAGTTACTTAAGTTCAAATAGACATTACTTAAACAAAATGGACCAAATGAATCAATTACAGGAATTGAAAGTGACATTACTTAAATGAAAGTGGACCAAATGAATCAATTACAAGAATTCAAAGTGGACATTACTTAAAGTCAACAAAGATGATCAATTACACAAATTCAAAGTGACATTACTAATATCAAACTATACTAAGCAAATCAGTTACTTGACGTGAAATTGACATTACTTAAATCAAAGTGGACCAAGTGAATCAATTACAGGAATTCTAAATGACATTACTGATATCAAACTATACTAAGCAAATCAGTTACTTGACTTTACATGTATCAATTATGATAAACAAACCAATTACCTGAATTTAAGGTGAAATTGCTCAAATCAAAGTGGACCAAGCAGATCAATTGCATGAAATGAAAGTGACAGTACTGAAATTTAAGTGAAACAAACAATTAATGGAATTCACAGTGACATCAGTTAAATCAAACTATACTTAAGCAAATCAGTTTCTTTAATCCAAAGTGACATTACTCATATCAAACTATACTAAGCAAATCGGTTACTTGACATCAAATTGACATTACTTAAACAAAGTGAACATAACTTAAAGTCAACAAAGATGATCAAATACACAAATTCAAAATTGCATTACTGATATCAAACTATACTGAGCAAATCAATTACAAGAATTCAAAGTGACATTACTTAAATCAAAGTGGACCAAATGAATCATTTACAAGAATTCAAAGTGACATTACTGAAATCAAACTATACAAAGCAAATCAGTTACTCAAGTTCAAAGTGACATTACTGATATCAAACTATACTAAGCAAATCAGTTCAAATTGACATTACTTAAATCAAAGTGGACCAAATGAATCAATTACAGGAATTCAAAGTGGACATTACTTTAAGTCAACAAAGATGATCAATTCCAGGAATTCAAAGTGACATTACTAATATAAAACTATACTAATCAAATCAGTTACTCGAGTTCAAATTGACATTACTTAAATCAAAGTGGACCAAATGAATCAATTACAAGATTTCAAAGTGACATTACTGATATCAAACTATTCAAAGCAAATCTTTTACTTGAATTCAAAGTGTATAACTGATATCAAACTATACTAAGCAAATCAGTTATTCGAGTTCAAATTGACATTACTTAAATCAAAGTGGATCAAACAAATCAATTCCAGGAATTCAAAGTGACATTACTGATATCAAACTATACTTAGCAAATCAGTTACTTGAGTTCAAATTGACATTACTTAGATCAAAGTGGATCAAACAAATCAATTCCAGGAATTCAAAGTGACATTACTGATATCAAACTACACTAAGCAAATCAGATACTCGAGTTCAAATTCAAATTTAAAAAGATATTACTTACATAACTATATTAGAAAAAAACTTTTTCTTGCATTCAAAGTGACATAAGAAATCAAAGTTGGACAAACAAATCAATTTCTTGAATTCAAAGCGAGTCAAATTGGCATTGCTTACATCAAAGTGAACCAAACAAATCAATTAACCAAACTGAAACTGAAACAAATGAAACAAACAAATTACTTAAATTCAAATTTAAATTCAAATTAACAAACAAATCATTAACTTGGGATTCAAATTGGTCTAACTTAAAGTGAACCAAACAAATCAACTACTTGAATTCAAAATGACATTCAGTATAAAATAATATAACTAAATTCTAAATTGAAAGAAAAAAATCAATTACTCAAATTCAAAGTGAAACAGACAAATCAGTTATTTTAATCAAAGTATCATTAAAATCAAATTATAAAAAGCAAATCAGCACCATCATTTGAAATCAATGTCGAAGTGACAAAGTGGATGAAACAAATCAATTACCTTAAAACAATATAACTTGAATCAAAGTGGGCGAAATTAAAGTGAGCTATAGGAATCAATTACTTGAAAACAACAATGCTTAGTAAATGAGGAACAAAATTTCAATTACTCATATTCAAAGTAACATGAAAACCAAACCATATCATTCAAATTTTAAGTCCACGCGACAATGCTTACCTGTGTACATCAAAGTGGACCAAACAAATCAAGTTCTTCGCTTGAGAGTATTTTACAACACAATACATTCAAACCTATACAAATCCACAACTGCTGAACGGCCTTACTACGTTTCACACGGAAATTTAAATGGCGGGAAATTCAAACTGCCGACCACGCTCGACTGTTTTATTGATCCATCCACGAATCTAAAAACCACACAAAACAACATTTGTTATTGTCCAGAAGTCTGCCATAACGCCCTAAAGATCAAGCTGATTTAAGCATTTTCAAACTAAACTAGTAGATGCATGCATGAGACCGTCAAGGCGATTCGTTAGTATAGCGCGAAGTAACTAATCTTTGTAACGTCGTATGAAAATACTGTATAACGAAAGGTCCGTCCTTACTTACACGTAGTTTTCAAGTTCCAACAAACAGCTCCAGTATCTATCTATCTTCTTCGCCACCAGGTCAGGAATGAACAAAAGAGTGGCGCGAATACTGATTTTATACTACGCAGTGACCTCTAGGTCACGTGACTAAAATGTGACATGTTGTAGATGACCAGACAAAGACCACATTGACTTCTTATTGTCATGTACGTGACGTCAATAGAGAAGTACGAGCTGTAGCACTAATCACAACTTGGCAAAAAGCCAAACGAAATTAGTAACTACTGCTTCCCAGTCTACTCTCCCTTTACTCTGTTAACTAACGAGCAATCAGTAAAACTGGTCACGCGACCATTTACATGTACCAGCGACTAAAAATACAACACAATACAATAAACCTGTAAGGTAGCGAAAATTAGTGCATCTAATTATTAATATAATATAATAAAAAAAATCCGGTTTCCTTTTTTTCCAAACTGCAGAAATATATATATTTTGTTCTCATCCTGTACGTAAAAAAGAACCCAGCGATCGCACAGTAACACGAGCGGCTACTTATATAACTAGCACTGCGGGAAAGTTTCATTTGTTCATGTAAAGCTAGTCTTTATGAATGCATTATCAAATACTGGACCTATCATCTTGAAACCAAGATTTATACAGTCATAAAAATATATAAGGAAAAAGAAAGCTATTTTTGTTCTTCCGTGGAATAAAGGGTGTAGACTACCATTGGTTTTGGTGTAGACCAACAGATCTCCTAAAATCTTACAGCGATCTCATACTTATATCGACCGATCCTAGAAATCAAGGACTCGCCTTTTTGTTAGTGTCATTATGTGCCTTTATTTATTTATTTATTTGAATCTTTTATATACCTATCAGTGTGTTCATTTATTAATATTTCAGCCACTGAGTCACAAATCGGTAGAAATGGTAAAATAATTCACTTGAGAACCCCATGCATAAATCCAGGGGCGAGGTGGTAGTGGGAACCTGTAAAAAGGTAGAAAAAACTTAAGACAACCACGATTAAGTGTTTTCATGAAAAGCAATGGGTTAAAAAATTCGTAAAAAATCGAATTAGTACTAAAGCTTCCCGTCTGAATTTTTGTGTGGTCGGAAAAGTGGATCATACTGCAGATGTGTTTGACGATAGGAGACCAAATTTTATATCGTGTACTTTAACTGCGTCCTATTTTTTTTTTAATTCTAGGGTGTTTGGCATTTTACGGACGCAATCATTTAGAACTGTACGGACAGAAAGAAGGGACCCAGCCTTCCATTGATTTAATATTTGAAAAATTGGCCTCAAAAAGGACTAAAAAAACTTGAAGTATTCGTTAATTGCTAGCTATGCGAAACACCAAGAGAAAGGGTAAATGGATCTAATTGATTCAATATTAGATGTGTATGCAACATTTATTGATAATTTCTCGCGTTTTTGTCCGTTCATTAACCAATTAAAATGCTGGAAGAAAGTGCATTCATCTTGGTATATAAAATGCAATTTGTGATCCAGTGTTTTAGAAATCTGGAAGCTCAAGTGTAACACATCACCGTCCTAGCTGTCAGTATTTTTACTCATCACTTTACATTTTTTTAACATGATTAAAAGGGACAATTATGCCAAAGCTCGTGATCACCATGATAACTACTCTGATAAGAGGTGATAATATTGAAATAAAGAAAATGCCAAAAAGCCATAATTTGACATAAGACAAATAAGCAAAAGAAAGGGTTCTAAGCACGTACATGTGCCGTAAGCAATGAATCATTAATGTTTTACTATTTCATGCGACCGAATTCGTGAAACGAACCATCCTGTGTACAGACTGTAGTATATATATCATAGAACACATTTTTGGAGTGAAAATGTGGTGAATTTGAATGACGTCAAAGAGAAAGTTTTAATTTATCCAGATATACTATACTGAGATAACGAGAAAATTAAATATCACACTGTTTCAACGTAAGATCTATTATTAGATATAATTTTCTCATTTTCTTTATATTATGGTTTGTTACCTTTTGCACTTCAAGCAATCGGAAAAATCATATTTATGAATGTTGTCTTTGGGATTTCAATCAAATGCACTTACTATTCAGGCGGGAAGTGCATAATACACACCCAGAGATGTTATATGACCGTGGCGATATACACGTTATATTTTTAAGGGTGTTTTTAGGCACTTTCTTTAAAGGGATAATAACTCTTCGTATGAGATCTATATTTCACAAAAAAAAAAAAAACATTGTGAATAACTCATAGACATATAATATATTCTCTTTTATCACAAAAACAGCAGTTATAGCTATTATTCTGATATCTGAGCTTGTCTTTAGACCACGTGACCTCCATTGATGGCTATACTCTGTTAACATCTCTTAAGAGATTTTAACAAAAAACCAAACTTTTTAGAAAAAACAGGGACCAACTTTGAATGTTAAAATGGATTCATTGACCATTGGTTAGTATGGGAAAATTGTTGTTTACTCCAGGAAAATTCATTTTTTGGCCGAAACAAAGAGTTATTATCCCTTTAAGTGTATGCCATTCAGTCGCTGACGCTCGATAGGTGCTCTGGCATATGTAATTGTAATCTCTTGTCATGGCCTAGTGATACCAGTTTAAAACAGGAGATAATTGCAGCACGCGGTAGACGCACACGCTGTTAGGCACGTGATCTTTAACGAGCACACCCTAATGCTAATTGTGTGTGAATTTGGTGACATTTGATGGCGTCTTTTCAATTTTATAGACATTTCTTTACATCTGTAGAAGTCACAGTGAAACAGTCGATTTGAGGGGGTACCTCTTATAAATTTTACTAAATGGTATAAAATATGTATATTTTCACCACTATTTTGTATTTTTTAAACCATTAATCATGTTAGACACGGTATCCGTAATAAAAAGCACTATTTCTAACAATTTACAGCTGTAAGGTGATCATTTGTAAATAAAAGTACATGGAAATGGGGGTGAGACAACCTTTTTGACCAATGTTGTAGTTCGACACGTAACGACTCACAGAACGACATATCATGTACAGTACCAGTAGTTTTTTTTTCAACTCATGTTAAACACGCATTTAGCATGTTTCAATGCAGTTGGGTGATTCAACGTATAATGGCTTTCAACAGAACGTTAATAACGCATAACGCGGTATAGGTAGTGTTCGCCTTAAGCATAAAATATTTGTTCTGACAAAATAATATGGATCAACAAGATATCGCCTCGGGTTCCACAGGTATGTGACTTTACGGAGTCGTACTCTCATATCATGTTTATTATGTCATATTTTCACAATATACTGATGTTAAAAACACCAGAGATACAGACTTGACATTTAATATGGAATATTTTTTCCAAATCATTTTTCATGAGTTTTTTTCCTGTTTTGCTGACTGATAATTGAAAATAAGGATTAAAATCGTGTTTTAATAACTTTTAATTATCTCTTTGATCTCATTGTGACATCAGTTCATTAATGGAATTCGCCAGAGAAGCAAACAAAAACGCATTGCCTATTCTATGTCATACGACAACAATTAAAAGAGATGTTTTGGATTTCCATATTTACCAAATTATTTTCTGTAAAAGAGTAATATGCCCCACAAAGAACCCCCATGTCAGTGTCTAGTCACAATAACGGTTGCTGTTACGCTTGACCTCTTCTGTCTGCTACCAGCGCTCTCAAGTGGCAAGGCATTCCTTAGGTTAGGTTTTTAGAGTTCAATCTGGAATAACATTCCAGGCATCGGTCAAAATCTGTCCAATTTGGTCCAGTTTTGTTGTAGGACATGTAGGCCATTGATTCGGCGAGTAATGGCCTACCCACATATTGTCTATGTGGTTCATATATGGCGATTTTGATTACCAAGGTAGCTGCTCATCCCCTTTATTCTGTAAGTAACCTGCTATTAAAAGTGCACTGTGTGTATCGGCAATTTCACTGTGCAACCTAAAATTGTTCCTAATATGCCCCCTATCAAATGATAGTCAAGTGGTTCCCAGATTATTCCTTTATTTGATCTGGTTCAGGTTTTCGTGGATGACCATTATTGGTGTTTAGGCACCAATGTGGTATCCACTTCAATTACTGACGCTGTTAATGACCTTAGTCACTTTAGACGCGGCACACGTTTAGAAGTTGGCCTCTTCAAATTGTCTGTAAACTATGTTTTGACTAGTTCAGCGGTACAGGTGAAATCTGACCTCAATAAAGAAAGCCACGAGGTTTCAGTGTTCAACTCAGAAACGGTCAAGGTCCCCAATTCATGAGAGAACCATACAACGCTGTACTGCTGTTTACAGTGGGTTCCCTTGAGGTCGTCTGGTATTCTAACCAGCTAAAACCAGATTGGTGTTCGTAAAGGGCCTTGAAAAATGCATTTTGGTTACAATTTACCCCTAATTCTGAACGGACTGGGTGGTTTTTGTTTAGTTGCAACAGCATATCCCGACATACAGTGGGTCCTGTACCCTGGTGGTAAGATTTCAATACATTGGGTGTGGTTTCTGTGTAGGTACATCAGTCTGGGCATTACTCTGCAAAACTGTGCGAGCCGTTTCGTTTGGCGCAATTATCTGTCTGGCAATGTCTGAGTTTTTCGCGCCATTCTGCCACAGATTAACAAATTTGCAGAGCACTGCATAGCTCATTTTACACCTTGCAAAACCGACCACTTGCATGCAAAATTTCAAATTCTTCAATGCAGTAGTTGCCGACATATTGATACTTTTTTTGAAAGAACCATGCCTTGCCAAAGCCAAGCTTTGACCTACCCAAAAGAGCACTACCCAATTAAATCACTGCATATTACATAGTGCAGCAGCGCAACAAACCTAGTAATCAGTTAATTGGAAGCGACACACCTGACTACACACTTCTCCATTCACAAATCTTATATGAGATCAGAGTGTTTTGAAAAAATAATCCATTTTACCTAGGCATACCTTCGAAACTGAAATATTCCATATTAAATGTCAAGTCTGTATGTTGATGATATTTTGCAATTTTATCAAGTCAAAGCTGTGACTACATATGCCATGG